CGAGCTTTGTAAGCAATGCGTTAATCTGAATATGATGGTAAAAGACATTTTATGTGACTGGACGTCAAAGAAAACAAATGAACAAGAAATACAAACAATTTCAAAGTAAAAAAATTCACAATTATACATTTAAAATCAATTTTTCAATTTTAAACATTTTTAAATTAAATAAACCTTTTTTAAAAAAATTCAAGTGTTTTTATTAAGCTTAAAGTCCCTTAACTTTTTTCTTAGAAAATTTTATTGTTTTTATTAATTAAAATTAAAGTCCCTCTTAATAGTTTAGATAAACAACTTTTTATTCCAAATATTTAAAGTAATCCTATCATTTTGCGGCACTTTTTTGAAAGTGAGCAAAATTTTCGAAAAATTTCCAAGGACCTTGAAAGTGAGCAAAATTTTCGAAAAATTTCCAAGGACCTTGTCCAAGACCTTGTCCATAGAGCTTTTCCAAGGATCTTGTCCAAGGACCTTGTCCATAGAGCTTGTCCAAGGACCTTGTCCAAGACCTTGACCATAGAGCTTGTCCAAGGACATTGTCCAATACCTTGTCCATAAAGCTTGTCCAAGGACCTTGTCCATAGAGCTTGTCCAAGGACCTTGTCCATAGAGCTTGTCCAAGGACTTTGTCCAAGGACCTTGTCCATAGAGCTTGTCCAAGACCTTGTCCAAGGAACTTGTCCATAGAGCTTGTCCAAGACCTTGTCATAGAGCTTTTCCAAGGACCTTGTCCAAGGACCTTGCCCATAGAGCTTGTCCAAGGACCTTGTCAAGGACCTTGTCCATAGAGCTTGTCCAAGGACCTTGTCCAAGGACCTTGTCCATAGAGCTTGTCCAAGGACCTTGTCCATAGAGCTTGTCCAAGGACCTTGTCCATAGACCTTGTCCAAGGACCTTGTCCAAAGAGCTTGTCCAAGGACCTTGTCCAAAGACCTTGTCCATAGAGCTTGTCCAAGGACCTTGTCCAAGGACCTTGTCCATAGAGCTTGTCCAAGGACCTTGTCCATAGAGCTTTTCCAAGACCTTGTCCATAGAGCTTTTCCAAGGACCTTGTCCAAGGACCTTGTCCATAGAGCTTGTCCAAGGACCTTGTCCAAGGACCTTGTCAATAGAGCTTGTCCAAGGACCTTGTCCAAGACCTTGACCATAGAGCTTGTCCAAGGACCTTGTCCAAGGACCTTGTCAATAGAGCTTGTCCAAGGACCTTGTCCAAGACCTTGACCATAGAGCTTGTCCAAGGACCTTGTCCAAGGACCTTGTCCATAGAGCTTGTCCAAGGACCTTGTCCAAGGACCTTGTCCAAGGACCTTGTCCATAGAGCTTGTCCAAGGACCTTGTCCAAGGACCTTGTCCATAGAGCTTGTCCAAGACCTTGTCCAAGGAACTTGTCCATAGAGCTTTTCCAAGGACCTTGTCCAAGGACCTTGTCCATAGAGCTTGTCCAAGGACCTTGTCCAAGGACCTTGTCCATAGAGCTTGTCCAAGGACCTTGTCCAAGGACTTTGTCCAAAGGCCTTGTCCAGAGACCTTGTCCAAGGACCTTGTCCATAGAGCTTGTCCAAGGACCTTGTCCAAGGACTTTGTCCAAAGGCCTTGTCCAGAGACCTTGTCCAAGGACCTTGTCCATAGAGCTTGTCCAAGGACTTTGTCCAAGGACCTTGTCCATAGAGCTTGTCCAGAGCTTGTCCAAGGACCTTGTCCAAGGACCTTGTCCAAGGACCTTGTCCATAGAGCTTTTCCAAGGACCTTGTCCAAGGACCTTGTCCATAGAGCTTGTCCAAGGACCTTGTCCAAGGACGTTGTCCATAGAGCTTGTCCAAGGACCTTGTCCAAGACCTTGTCCATAGAGCTTTTCCAAGGATCTTGTCCAAGGACCTTGTCCATAGAGCTTGTCCAAGGACCTTGTCCAAGACCTTGACCATAGAGCTTGTCCAAGGACATTGTCCATAGAGCTTGTCCAAGGACCTTGTCCAAGACCTTGTCCATAGAGCTTTTCCAAGGATCTTGTCCAAGGACCTTGTCCATAGAGCTTGTCCAAGGACCTTGTCCAAGACCTTGACCATAGAGCTTGTCCAAGGACATTGTCCAATACCTTGTCCATAAAGCTTGTCCAAGGACCTTGTCCATAGAGCTTGTCCAAGGACCTTGTCCATAGAGCTCGTCCAAGGACCTTGTCCATAGAGCTTGTCCAAGGACCTTGTCCATAGAGCTTGTCCAAGACCTTGTCATAGAGCTTTTCCAAGGACCTTGTCCAAGGACAGTAGTAAACCCCCCCCCCCCCAAACGTTACAAACGTTACACCCCATTTGATCACCTGTCAATTAAACCTGAGGCTATAGGGGGTATTTTTCTTTTGATCTTTGCCGCAAACCTTTCCTTTTGGAGGGGTTTGAGGGTAATTAATCATGATTAATTAGGGTAATTAATCATTGATGATTAATTGCTTTTTGGTTGATTTTTTGTGGGAAGTGACAGGTTTGATGTTTGTGGTGTCTGGGTGGTCTGTTGTAACATTTGGAGGTTAAAATAAAACTTTTTAAATTATTTTTTGAAAGCGCGGTAAAATAAAAGAAGTCAAAAGTTTTTGGGTGGCAGTGAAAATGCGGTAAAATCATAAAGAAATGAATTTTTTCGGATGGGTATATTTTTGTTTAATAATAAAAACAAATTATAAAATTTTAAAAAATAAAATCCCCAAGCGTAATCGAACCTTCACAGACGTATTTTTCGTATGCGGGAACTTTATCCATTCGGCTGTACATAAATTTAATAAATAATCGGATAAATTATAAAAATTATTTCTTTGTGTATTTTGGGGGGATGGGGTCTAGGATTTAAAAAGTTTAAAAATTTCGAAATTTCGTGATTAAAATTTTAAAAAATTTAAAATTAAAAATTTAAAAAGGGAATTTTCGAAAATAATTTAAAAATTAAATTAATTTAAAAAATTAAATAAAAATTTTTGTTAAAATTTTGGCAAAAATAAAACGATTTTAAAAAAAGGGCGGAAGTTCAAATGTAAGGGGATTTATTCAAAATGCCAAATTTCAAAATTGACGGGAATTCAAATTTTAAAAATTGGCGGTTGTAAAAATGTAAGGGAATTAAGCAATTATTTCAAAATGTCGAATTTCAATATGTATAAACAACAAAATGCCAACTTCGAAATGTCAACACTAAAATATCAATTGGAGGGAATTTTAAATTAAAAAAATGGCTTAATCATGGGAATTTCAGTTTGGGAATGTTCAAGAGTCACGCACGCTCTCAACCTTTGTAAGCACATTATATTAATTTACTTAGCATAGCACACATTACTCAACGTTCACATAATGTATTGATGTAAATTTTTTGTAAAGTTAAGACTTAGAATATAAAATTGATGCAGAATTAATGAATATAAGATAAAGTTAATAAAAAGTTAATGACCAGAAGGTACAGTTTATGAAAAGTTAAAGGATAGAAGATACAATTTGTGCAAAGTTAAGCAATGGAATATACAGATTTTTGGGGTAAAATTGCAAAGTTAAGCGTTAGAAGACACAATTGCTGTAAAGTTAAGCGTCAGAAGATAAATTTGATGAAAAGTTAAGGGATAGAAGATAAAATTTGTGTAAAGTTAAGAGAAATAACACACATTTTGAGTAAAACTATGCAACGCGTGGCATGTGGGCATGTGGGTATATTTGATCACGGATGGTATGGGATGCATATGGGTATGTGTGTGTCCACAATTTGCTCATATGCGTACGCACACACCATTTTGGAGTAAAGTTAAGTTTTATATGATAAATTTGCTTTAAAGCTAAGCGTTTCAAGATAAAATCTATATAAAGCTAAGGATTAAAAGATTTGCTTTTTGATTAATTAGGGTAATTAATCATTCATGATTAATTAATCATCATTCATGATTAATTACCATTTGGTTCTTATTTTGCGTTAAAATTATGTTTTAAGTGTAGCATTTATGTTTTAAGTGTTTAATCAATGAAGGAACTTATTCCAATTGTTTGCATTTCTGCCACTATTAATGGAAGCCCATCAGTAAATATATAAAAGTAAACTCTGTGCAGTTTTCTATCTCATTTTAAAATAAGGAAAGTTCTTGATATATTTGATGTGGAGTAAAACTTTTTCAAAATAAGATTAAAATTAAACAAATATTGATTTTGAGAAATACTGAAAAAATATTTAAAAATTTTATAGACACGCCCATCAGTAAATATATAAAAGTAAACTCTGTGCAGTTTTCTATCTCATTTTAAATAAGGAAAGTTCTATAAAACTGCGAAATTTTATTAAGTTAATTTAAAATACAAATATATTTAAAATAATTTAATCAATGAAGGAACTTATTCCAATTGTTTGCATTTCTGCCACTATTAATGGAGTGACAATTAAATCAGGAAAATTTAAAACATGTCGAGCGGATGATGTTGAAATTGATTATGTTATAACTATGAGGGGAATTTATATTATCAGTAATCGACTTAAGAAAAAAAAATTTGTGCCTTTTGATATAATTGAGAGATTTGGAGAAAAAAATGTTTTTCGTTTCAAAGTAAAAAGAAAAATTTTCACTATTCTCGAGAAGGAATCTAATTTATTAGTATCAGAATCAATTAATGAAAAATTCTTCCATTTAAAAGGCGATAAAGGAAATGCCCTACTTCGATCTACTTCGATCATTGACGAATATTTAGAATCACCAGCAGAGAAAAAGATGAAAATTGAAGATGAAAAGAAAGATAAAAAAGATTCAGAGGAATTTCATTTGAAAAATATCTCTATCTTAAATAATTGTTCAGACCCAATGAATTTGTAAAATTGTTTGTAGATAAACTTATTTAATAAACCTTAAAAATGTAAAATTCAATGAAAAGAAGAGGACTTTTTGAAATATTTTATAAAAGAAAGTATTAATTTTTAGGGGTAAAAATACAAAAATATTCAAAACAAGATGCAATTAAATAAAAATTAATGAATATAAAATGAATTTTCTATTTTACTTTGATAAATAAAGAAATATCGTGTTTTTCCCATAAATTCTTATCCTCAACATACAACAAGAGAATTCCTCTCTTGACGTCTTTTATATCCACGGGCAGTGTTTCTGATGAACTACAATCCTGAATAGTTGAATCTGACGAAATAGTTTCTATGGATTTCACTGATTCCGAAGAAGATGAAGCTTTTTTCCGAAGATTTTTCATAGTAAATGGACAATCAGAATCGGGATCGTCAAAATCCTCGACTACTAAAGTAAGCAATTCCAAAGGATAATAGCAGTCTTTAAAGTGAACGCATTGATGAAATGGATATTTTAGTAATATCTTATGTCTGGCGTGAAAATAAGCGCTGACAGAAATGTTAAAAGGCTTTCGAAGATTTCCGTACGCCATTAATTGATGAGAACCAAGTGTAGTTAAACCATCACAATAAATTTTCTGTATATTTCTATTTCTGTCGAAATAGGAAGTTTTCAAAACCTTTCCTCTAATTTCATCAAGGATGCGGTCTCTATCACATTTAATAGTTAACCGTTGTTTAACATTATCCTTATTACAATCCAGAATATTTGAAATTTTTTCTAAGAGAGTTGTCATGATTTAACAATTAATTAATTTCGAAATAAAATGAAAGAAAGTATGAAATTGCGATGTTAATATAGGGTAAATAATTGTAATAATGTTTAACAGAGATAACAAAAGCCACGCCCTTCTTCGGAGTATAAATACCTGAGTTTGGAACCAAAATTTCATTCTTCAATTATTTGAGAAAATTTGAAAGTAAAATGTCCAACCCAAACTCTCCAAACTCAGTAAACACTGAAACGAAGCCTATTGAAGTTATAGAAATAATGGAAGAAAATACAACAGGCATGGAGAATAATGGGAAGACGGACTTGTGGCTAAGTAAAAAAACAGCTCTCAAAAAGCTTAATTCGAAAAGTACTTCAAACAGTAAAATGTTATGGAAATTGGTGAGAATGAAGTATATTCCACGTCTGGAATTTCGCCTTTGCCGTACTTGTTCCAACATTCTTTTCCACAGCACTACACGTGTTGTTGAACGTGAAGACAGTGGGGGAGTTAAAATCTCCTTCGAGCTTTGTAAGCAATGCGTTAATCTGAATATGATGGTAAAAGACATTTTATGTGACTGGACGTCAAAGAAAACAAATGAACAAGAAATACAAACAATTTCAAAGTAAAAAAATTCACAATTATACATTTAAAATCAATTTTTCAATTTTAAACATTTTTAAATTAAATAAACCTTTTTTAAAAAAATTCAAGTGTTTTTATTAAGCTTAAAGTCCCTTAACTTTTTTCTTAGAAAATTTTATTGTTTTTATTAATTAAAATTAAAGTCCCTCTTAATAGTTTAGATAAACAACTTTTTATTCCAAATATTTAAAGTAATCCTATCATTTTGCGGCACTTTTTTGAAAGTGAGCAAAATTTTCGCCTTTAATCCATTTGTCAGGATAAACTTTCGTCGGCATAAAAACAGTTAAAAGAAAATCAAAAAATTTTTATTTTACACATTGTAATATTTCTCCCCTTCTTACTATTTTCCTCCCTTTTCTCTCCCTTTCACTCCTTTCCTCGTTGTCTCCTCTACTCATCCCTTTCCCTCTTCTTTTTTCACCAGCTGCCACTAAGTTTATTACACTGATTAGTATATCCTCGCGCGGCATTTCATTGGAAGAGGACAGATAAAAGAAAATACAGAAAAATTTCTATTTTACATGTTGTAATATTTTTCTCCTTTTCTTCCATTTTTCAGACTTTTCTCCGCCCTTTCTCTCTTCTCCCTTTCCCTCTTTTTTTTCACAGGCTGGCACTAAGTTTATTACACTGATTAGTATTCTTTGCGCGGCATTTCTTTGGAGGAGGCGTGATTTAGTTGGTAATAGTTTTTCTGTAAATTGAATCTAGTCAATCTATTGGCATATATTAACAATTTTTTATTTAAGCTTTGTTTTTTGTTTTTTTAACTTTTCAATATTTTTTTGTATTTTAGTTTCAATCTATTTAAAATTTTTTAAATTTAAATTATTTTTCAACATGGAAGATATTATAATAGATGAGGTAGAAATGAACGGTAAGCATTAAATTTCTTCATCAAATCTTCAAATTATTTTTCTTTTAGAAATTAACAACAGAAATCAAAGAAGTTCCCGTGCACGTTCTTGCTCCTCAGGTCGAGAACGTGCACGGGGACTTAGTCCTGAAGCTCATGTGGCTCATTTGCGTTTTCTTGAACTACGCAGAGCTGAATTGATTCAAACTTACAGCAGCAACAACAATATTCTCAATTTTACTGATACGCCTGGAACATCAACAACCACCATGGATGAATTAACTCCGATGTGGGCATCAATTGCTGAATTAACTGAGAGTTATAATAATGATGGGTATATCCCTAATTTTATGCAAATGGAGCACACTATTGGTAATTTTTTATTCAAATTTTTTAAATTTAATAATAAGAGCGATCAAAAATTCTGCCACGGCAGGCATCGATCCTGCGAGCTTCTGGCTATTCCAGGCGCATTCTTTCACCCCATACAGTCGCTCTGCCGATTGAGCTACCGGGACGTTGATTTCACCTTCTTAATAGATTTTAAACCCCTGCTAGTAACCGTTTGGCCAACTGGATCTTTCTCTCCTTACCTAATTAACAAATTATTTTAAATTTATAAAAATTTGTTTTAAAATCCTATAATTTCAAAATTTTTATAGCAACTCCTACTCATTATCCGAGTAGCATGGTAGAGGAAATTGTGCCTTGGCAGCTACCGGTGGCTCCTTTGGAGCCTTTACCACCGGTAGCTGAGGAGCTCCCAGAAAATTTCCACGACTATGATTATTTGGAGGCACCACCTACACCACCAACTCTTTTAGAACTCAATGTACTGCAGCAGCAGCAGCAGCAACAACAACAACAACAAATTATTATTGACGACAACGTCTCGACATGGAAATTATTCAGGAATATTTTCCTGATTTTAATGCTGCACCCCCAAAAAAGAAGAAAATGATTGACCCTTCTGCAAAATATACGTCCGATGTTTGTATCGGATGTTTATGCACACATGAGGAGGTAAACATCATTTATGGCCCATGCGGGTGTGCTTGCGTTAACTACTGCGCTGATTGTATTAATGATGGAATTGAAGAGAAGTTAGCCAACATGCACAACTGGAAGCGAGCAGTGGACAGAGATCAAATTTTGGGAGAACTGCCTCACTGTGCTTGCTGTAACAAAGAATACAGGCGTTTGGTGCGACGTTCGCGTCGCACCAAACGTAGTAATTCGCGATTTTTTGATAATTAAAGTTTTCTCATATTTTCCCTCAATTAAAAGGGTGCGAGTCCATAACTTGCTGGGAAAATTTTCCGACCTTTATCAATTTTGGTACCAATCTCTTTAACTCGGTAAGAGTATTCGTTTAATAAAATTAGGTAAGATTCGAAAAATCTTTAAGCAAGTTATGACTTTGCAAAATTTTGTTGTGCCCTTGCTTTTTAATGAAAGGTTTTATTGTTAATTATTTGTTAATTGTTATAATTTTTCATATATTTGTTAAGTAAAACTGTTGTTGATATATTGTATATTTAATTTTGAAAATTTAATAGCTTAAGATGTTTTTATAGATTAAGTTTATAGTTTTAGATGTTTTTTTATAGTTTAATTATCTAGTTTAAATTGTTACTAACTAGTCTGTTTTTAAATTGTCATGGTTATTTATAATTTATTTCTTTCATTTGATCTCACACCGGTGTTAATTGGCACAGCCTGGCACGGATAAAATACGCCCCTTACTCACCCGGCTAGTATATAAACTGCCGTTGAACAGATTTCCTTCTCATTTCTATTTATTCAAAAAATTTTTCAAATAAAAATCTTTCTCATTTCTACTTATTCAAAAAATTTTTCAAACATTAAAATGTCGAAAGGTAGTCCACCAAAACGTCCGAGATTTTCAATTGAATCTATTTTGGAAAATAATAAACAACCCCACCGTTTCTTTATTCAAAATATTTTATCGACTAATACCCAAAATCAAAACAATACTAATACGCAAATTGGATTAGGAGTTCTAGATGATTTCATTGAAAAAACCGATTCGAAAATGACATTTTGCAAAAGATTTAAAATGATGAAATCAGTTTCAAAATTCGCTATAAAAAAGGTACCAGAAAATCCTGAGGAATTACTTCGTCGTCTTCTTGAGGAATGCATCAGACAATCAATATCCGAAGCAAAAAATAATGATATAATTGTAGACCATTTGGGTGCTCTGATTTCTTCTCCCTTACTTGACAGTGACATATGGATTCCCATTAGAAAACTACATAGTGATGCAGTGGAAAATATTTTACAACGCTTTCTTCTTGTTTCGCAGTCAAAAGCCGAGCGCGGTTCACTCTGGGGTGAACCTTTTACAGTTGCAATTCATTCATTGGACGTTTCAGCACTGCCTAAGGAAAAAACAATCACTGGAAAAGGCTCTCAATCTCAATCTAATAATATACCATGTTGGCTCATTAAAGTTCATAATAATGATAGTTTTTGTCTTTTTTATGCTTTGGAACTAACTCGCAAATATGTAACTAAAGAGTTAGGTGAAAGAATTAGATTTCATCGTTATTGCAAAAATCAATCAAAACAAAAAGTTGATGTTCTTAAATTAATGGAAGATGCTGGTATTTCATTGCAAAAAGAACGTTATGATGCTCAAACATATGTTCCAATAGTGGTCGATTACTGGAATAAATTATACAGTGGAAATGGACATAAATTTAAAGTGTTTATTTTTGGAAATAAAGCTGAAGTGAAGACAAAGTATAAATATGGATCCGATACATTCAATATGCCAATTCCAATATACCACTCCGATGGACATTTTGATGGAATTAGAACTGTTGGCGCTCAGTTTGGTCCGCACTGGAACTATTGCTACACTTGCGAAAAGAAATATTTGAAAGCTAAAGAACATGATAACAACTGTAAATCAAGATGTAGACTTTGTGGAAGAGTCGGAATAGGGAGGCCATGTTCAAATTCAAGAGATTTCAAAAAAGATTGTCAAGAATGTGGGAAGACATTTTGGAACAAAGACTGTCATGATCATCACAAGTCAAGCAACAACTGTCTGAGATTCAAACAATGTGAAAAATGTGGCACAATATGGAGCACAAAAGATCATCAAAGAAACTCACAGAAAAAACATGTTTGTGGCCAAAAATGGTGTAAAACCTGTGTACAATTTCATAGTTCAGAGAGAGGATGTTACATAAAACCTCTAGAAGAAAAAAAACTAGCACCATATAGACTTATAACCTTCGACTTTGAAGCAACACAACACACGAAACATTCCAAAACATCAGATGCTCGACTTCATTCTGTTAACTTTATTGCCGCTACTATAATATGTACATATTGTATGAATGACAGAAAAAATTGGAAATCGTTTCTACGTCGTGAGAACAAATTTTGCAGCATTTGTGGGAAAAATATAAATATTACGTTCTCTCATCGTCCTTATTACAAGTCTAAAGTAGATGAACAACGAGTGACAACAAATCCTCTCTATGATTTTGTGAAATGGCTTCTATTTGAACTTGAAGGTCCTTTCACAACAATAGCTTTTTCTCATTTTGGAGGTAGATATGATATGGTAATGGTCTTTCGCGAAATTTTTGTTGCCGGAATAGTACCAACAATGATTCGTAGGGGGAATAAATTATATGAGCTGAAGGTTCCCCGGAGTCACAAATGCAATGAAGTGATTTTTAGAGATTCATACAACATCTGTCCGGTTGCTTTGGGGCAACTTGTTGGAGCATTTGATCTACAAATACAAGAAAAACAATTCTTCCCGCATCTAGCCAACAATCCACTAAACTACGACATAACACTCGCAAAGCTTCCTCAAAAATCAGATTACTTATATGGTGGCATGTTACCCAATAAACAAAAATTATTCGACAAATGGTACAATCAAGAATGTCATAAACCCTTTTGTTTGAATGAAGCATTGGCTGAATACTGCTTGAATGATGTGGAAATATTAACTGAAGCATTGTTGGCATTTCGGCAAAAGTTTTTAGAAATTAGTCGTCCTAAAGGAAATAATGGATCAAATGGTATAGACATCATTCGTGAAACAATGATTACATATTAAAATTATTATTAATTAGTAGATTGTTTATATTAGAGAACGAACATATACCTAATTAAGTACTTAGGTTGTGTCATAAATAATTAGCCCCCTTGAGTAAGGTTAAATAAATATTTATTAAAATTCAACTAAATGTTTTCAGAATTTGAATTATATTTTTCTATGATCCTAAGAGAGTTGTCTATTTTCTGGCAAAAAATCAGAATCCTAGGATCGGGTTGGTTGGAGATAGAGGTGAGATACTAAAACTTGTATTTTTGAAACAAGGCAAATTCTTTTTGATTTTTCTCTGCAAAATTAATGAGTATGAATGAAAATTTCAATAGATTCTGATAGAGCAGAATCTGATGAATACAATGATATAAGAAATTCCCCTGGAAAACAACTGGCTGATTTTTTAGAGGGTCGCATTTGTGAAATAGGGGCTAGCATTATGCTGTTTTAGGATAACCCTCGCGCGAAAATGCCCAGCGAGGCCAGGCGACCAGATTATTTAATGGACTCGATATATTTAGGAACAATACTATTTAGGGATAGTAGTTTAGCCAGTTTAAACTAATTTCCAATGATTACCCCGCCGCGACACCACCAAATACATAACAGATCACGCTGTTGGATCAATCTGAATTAGAGGTCGAAATTGATGGTTAGCTGGGATGAGCCGTTCCTTTTTGTTTCCAGAATTCATGAAGGCAACCCACACTTCCTCATAGGTTAAAATTTGTTTCAAATAAGGAGCTTAATTGTGGCTTTTAAGAGGTTGTTTTGCAAAAGTGACTTAGTGATTTTTTTGATTTTGCGGCAATTCATGGGGTATCAATCGACTCTTCATAACTTGATACCCGCTTCAAGTAAAATTATGGGAATTTTTGTAAGTGAGCAGGTGAGTGCCTGCCCCAATGTACACATTTTATTTTTTGGACTGGCTTTGATTCAGGGGAGAACGGCATTCTTATCTATCGTTGGTTGGCATCCAAGATGTTGTTTGTCTTTCAGCTCCTCTCTACCTTTCTTTTATTTGGAGACCCAACTTTTTTCTGTGGAATAGGAGATAACATCCTCATACTTCGCTATGCATATTTTGCGCCATGATTCCTTTTCAGAATGTCCAAGTTCAATCTCATATTTGAACTGGACGCTAATTTCATAATTTTGCCTTAAACTTTAAAAATTCATAAAAAATTTTTACATAAAGAAAAAATTTCAAATCTTTCAGAAAATGAAGAAGTCATTATTGTGAATATATGACAAAAAAATCAAACAGATTGGAGATCTGAACATTGAGATATACATTTTAAAACATTAATGATTTAAGGGGGGCTAAATATTTATGACACAACCTAAGTATAAATAAAATAGTTATATTTAGATACTTTCATATTTTTTTATATCAAAATATTTAAAAAATTAATATATAATTTATAAAAAGCTTTTTTAATTAAAGGAAAAAACAGGAAAACTTTCAAATTTTAATTTTTCTCTGAGTAATCCATGAGGAAATTTTCCTTCCTTCTTTGTTCGAGTGTTGAAAGCTCCAATATATCCATTTAATTTTTGCTTTTTAAATACTTAAAATTGAAAATATTTTTTAGTAAATATAAATTACTCTCACTAATAATGTCTCCTTTAAGAGCATCAATTTCCTCATTATTTGTTGCTTTATAATCAGAAATTGATATCATTTGTTTTTCTGATTTTATTAGAAAATATTTTTTTAATTTTATTTTAAATTTACCATTCCATAATTCTTCATAATCAAAATCGAGAGAATGAACATTCTCTCCGGCATAACCTTGATAAGCTTGCATAAGTTCGTAGACAAATCGGCAAATCTTTTAAAATAAATTAAGTATTATGCTTATTTTGTTCTCCTTTCTAAATATTTTTTAATTATTAATATATCCCTACATTGCTTGAGAATGTACAGACCACAAATCGACATTTGGCCAAACAACGAATTTCTACAATTAATGAAATTAATGATTCCAAAGAGCACCTCTCGGGATCATTTGCTACTTTTCCATCTGTTTTGTTATAAAATAAGGGAAAATTAATAAAATATTTTAAGTTATAAATGATTCTTTTTACTATTAAAAAGATAAATAATTAAACTAACAATGAGCATCTTGACTATTATGTACGAATTCGTATTGGCTACCCCAACGTTTCTCAGCTTCCAAAATAATTTCTTTAGGTTCATCAGTTGCAATAAATAATTTTCGTTTACTTATTGTTTTATTTTGCTGTTTTAAATTTAATTTTGAATTTATTGTTTGAACGTTATATTCTTCGGCATTATACCATAAATCTATCCATTTCTAAAAAATTAAATATTTTTATTCGACAATAATTATCCAAAATTATTACCATATATTCCTCTAACTTGTATGGAGGTACTTCTATATATTTGTCTGTTCTTCTTACGTGAATACCAGCAATTGTTTCTGATTATTTAAGTATTATTAATTATAATTTTTAAATTTCACCATAATCCATATTGAATTTAGACTCAATTTTGTTAATTCTTTGTGATGCTGATTCATTGAATCTCAACACAAAATTTGCATACTAAAATATGTAAGATTAGTTAAGAAATATTTTATTTGAAAAAGTACTGACGGTGTTGAACCCCAATATGGTAAAGCCAACAATAATTTACATTATTTAAAAATATTCAATACCTGCCCCATGAACCAAGCTTGAGGTTTTGTGTGGTGTTTGGTCAGAATTTCCTCAAACTCTGATGGCGCTACGTTTGGTAAATGTGTTAAATCCCTTGTTTTTACTCTTAAAGACAGTGAAACAATTCTTTGTTGTTGTGTAGGTCCTTTATATTGGGTAATTGGCAAATAAGGTTTAACCTTAATATTTGTTTTTAGTTGATTAATATTTTAATATAATTAATAGGTGCTAAACAGCTCAAAAGAATTTTTGGTTATTCATTTCTTAAACTTTCTGATTTACTTTTATTTATTTAACGATTAGGTGGACTGTATTTTGGGTTGTATTTTAGGTTGTATTTTAATTATTTACATGGTTCTCATAACTGCAATTTGTAATTTGACTGAAAACATCACTCCACCTAACATTATATTTCCATTTGTCACCGTGTTTTTCAAAAATTAATGTCCGGTTTGAAATCGTTGACATATATAAACAAAAACTAAATTAATTTTAAACTGATTTTAAATTCAACAATAATTACATGATATGATGAAATGTACAACCAAAGCCACAATTAATGTCCAACTTACAAATAAAAAATAATAATTTTTAAAAAATTAATTAATTAATTAACTGAACAAACAATTATTCTCCTTTTATTACAATCTGTCGGGTATTGTAGTTTATATAATGTTTGGTTTATATATTGAGCCAAATAATCAAGTTCTTTTTTATGATTAGAAGGGTCAGTAATTTGATTAATTTTTGATAATAAACGAGCAAACTTAAAAAAAGAATTTATTTAAATATTTTTAGAACTAACAATAATTTCTGTCTTTATTAAAGTTTGGCTATATTACAATAAATCTAATTCAAAATTTTATAGTTAATTGTTAAATAATAAATTAATATTTTAAAATTTAATTATTTTAAAAATTGCCTGTTTCCTTCTAAATTCATTCTTAGAATTAATTATTAGATCATTTTCATTATAATTAACAGAACTCCCCAATAAATCGAATAACTCTTTTATTTGATGTTTAATTTCAGGAATGGATGTGTCCAACTGTGGGGAAATTATTTTTTAAATTTAGTTAAAATTTCTGATTAAATTTTTAAAAAATTAGAACAAATTAAAATAACAAAACAAAAACTTCTTGTTGTAAAATTGTTTCTAAAGATACAGTTGAATGAAATACATTTTGTTGATGTTGATTAATTAATAAAGTTTTAAAGTAAATTAATATTGTAAAAAATATTACAAAACAAATTGGAATAAATATAATTGTATTCATTTAATTCTTAATTAATAACAAATTTATTTTTAAATATTTTAGTTAAAAAACAAAAAGGAAATATAAAACTTTAATTTTTAATTCTTTCCAGATTTAAATTTAAATATTTTAATTTTAAATAGATTAATCTCATAAGTTCTTTTTAAATTTAAAAACAAACAAAAAAATTTATTTAAAACTGTCTGCCCTTAAAAGATTAGCATCTAGTATATAGAAAATTTACTAAAAATAATAAAAAACATTTTAAAATTATTTAGATGGATAGTTTTTTGATTAAAATGTTTTAGGATATTTAATAAATTACTAAGTTAAAAATAAAAAATTGTTAGTCTAATTTAAAATTAACATTTTATATGAAGCTCCTCTAACATTTAATTACCGTAAATGCTGAAATAATTACCCTCTCTCAAATAATTACCCCCGCCCTATTAATTACCCCCTCCAGCGATTGATCGAAACAATAATTGCCCTCTCTCAAATAATTACCCCCTCTAATAATTGCCCCCTATTTTTCTCTACACTGATTTTAAAAATATATTAAAAAATCATTATCAATTTTAATTATAAAAATGTGGTATGACCAATATCAAAAAACAAATTGATAATTTGAAAGGATTTTGGGAGTATATCGAGGGATTTGTGTGGAATAAGAGAGATATCGAGAGATTAAGAAGATTTGGGGAAGATTTTAAGATTTTTAAGATCTTCTTAATCTCTCATTAAATAATGAGACGATGGAAGTCAAATATCGAAATTCTCTGATATTTCCTAAATCCGTTAAAATAATTTGCGACAGATTACGTGTATTTATATATCCCAAGACGGCAGTATTAATGGTATAGTAACACGATTATTGGAATATAGATTATATCTCCTAAATAAGAATCATACATAATTCGATACATTCCCATTGTGCCTTTACATATACCCGTACGGAAGCATAGATGTTATGCTACTATTCTGGGTTATTTTATTTAAGAAAATATTAAATCGAATATAGGATATCAGTAAAAATGTCAACATTTATATCTGAATTCGGTGAAATTTTTATATCACTGTACATATGATTATAATAAAATAAAATTATACTGGTCGAAATAATAATTGCCCTCTCTCAAATAATTACCCCCGCCCTAATAATTACCCCCCTCAGCGAGAGATCGAAACAATAATTACCCAGGGTAATTATTTCAGCATTTACGGTAGTCTAATTTCAAGTCAAATTTCAAAAACAAAACATTTCTAGCAAAAATCAAAATTTTATTTATTTATTGCATACCTAATTATTATATTAAGAGAAATATTAAAATAACTAATTTATTCTAAGAAAAAATTAAATTAAAAAAATATTATTATATTGGACACTAAGAAACTAAATAATAATTAAATAGAATATATTTCCAAATTTTTAATTTAAGAATTTATTTTGATTGCTGGAGTGCTATATTTACATGATTTTCCTGTTCCAGCTACTGTTGGAACAAAACTTGCTAATGGAGAAAGTGTAGAGACTGATTGAGTTGTTGCTGCATATTCCTTTAATTTTTAATTTATTTTTAATAATATTTTTTTATTTAAAAATAACTTGACAAGCATATTTAATTTTTGTATTTCCACTATTCATACCGTCCAAAACAATATTAGAAAATGTATCAGAGTCACCATAATTTTGATTGAGTGCTAAGAAATTAAATTAATATGCCTACATATTTATTGTCTTGATACTTTTGTCTCAAGAATTTTAATTTTAAATTAAAAACAAACAAATCAAGGTTAATCCTGGCCCTTTGAATTTTGAATTTAATAATTGAACATTTCTAGTATATTGGGGATTACATCCAGAACCACAAGAGCAGTATACTTTACCAAAATTTTCTCCACAAAAATTTTGAATAATTGTTGTGCCTTTACTTGATTGTGTAAAAAACTAAAATAATTTTTAAAAAATAATTATTTATGTCATTACTTTATCAGGAGCGTTTTGAGCTGCCCCGCCAATTACTTTATGTGTTTTTGAACTTGAATCTCCAGCAAATCCAGCTGCATGATAACAAACTTTTTCAAAACTAATTTTTAATTCATTGAATAATATCCGCAAATACTAAACTTACTAAACATTTTGTAAAGTACAACTCCCCGAACACCAAATTCCCTTTGCCGGATCTCCCAAAATCAAATTTTGTACACTTCCACCATCTTCAATTATTATTATATGTTTCCCGTTTACCGATCCATCAATCGAACAAGAACTTCTTAAAGCATTTGTAGAAACCAAACGAGCATATTCAAAATTAACAGTACCTTTGACCGTTCTAAATTTTTGAAGATTAGGTTATCACTTCACAGTCTCGGATATACTAAATGAACTTTATTCAATAAAACAACCCCAACTCAGGAAAAATAATTTTTGAATTGGCCCTTCTTCGTGTTGATTTATAGAAGTCCAAGGCGGAACTTTGGGAAACGATCTAACCGAGGCGATGTTATTTATATTTATTAAGCATAATTTCTCAATTTCAACAATGCTTATAGTTTTAGATTATTAAATATGTAATAATCTTCAAGTAATCATCTTTTATTTTCCATTGAATTTCATGGCTTAAATAATTGAAATATTTTTCAAAACATTCTGTTAATGTCCCAAAAGATCTAAAATTTATTTGAATAGAGTAAACTACCGCATTTCCTCAAATAGTACGGCCCCCATTTGTCAATACTCTTTTTCAATCCTCTTCTAGTTTTTAATTCTCTTCTTTCAATCCTCTTCTTTATTAGTTAATGTCTAAATTAAAATTCAATAAAATATTCAAATATTTTAAATTTAGTAAAATTAATATTTTCACAAATAAATACAAAAACATTTAAATTTAAAAAATTATTCTAAATTTATTTCTATCATTTTATTCCACAATTTCCAATCACTTTCTGCAAGAATATTTTTTACATCTTCTGATAAATTTTTAACTGCATTATTCCAATGATTTTTAGAACAAAAATAAAGAGAAGAAAATATAATTGGAGTTATTTTATTGTTACATTCTTTAAATAAATATTTAATTTTTCCTTCTTCCTTCCAAAGTTGGAGGGCATTTGTTGAAATCTTTAAAAAAATTTTAAGAGATAGAAGAGTAAAAATAGAGTAAATATAACTTTATATATAAGTAATATATAATATATATAACTTTATATATAACTTTATATATATATAAGTAAATATGACTACTTTCAATACATTTAGAAATTTGTGAAAATAATTTTGGAATAATTTTTTGAAATTGTTCCAATTCTGTTTTTGACAAAATAATTTTAATTTCATCCAAAAATTTAATCTAAAAAATAAATTAAAATAAATTTGCTTCTCAAATTAATTTAAATTACTTGTTTATTTGAATTCTCATTTGGCCAATATTT